TTGGTTAGATGGTTCTTATCCCTAGCTTTTACCTTATGCTTTAGGATAGTCTCTTCATCTCCTCCCATCTTCTTTAATTTAAAAAAATCTTCTCCCTCCTTTTAAAAACTCTTCTTATTTCTAAACTTGAAACACTTTCATAATAAACTTGGACTTAGGTCCATGCATTTTCAAAACATTTTCATAAATAAATTTTAATCAATTTAATAATACCTTGACATTTTTGTGAGAAGACTAAAAATCAATCAATCTCATTTCAAACCATTTTTGCCACTTTGGCTTTTTATTTTGAAACTTTTCTTAAAAAGATTAGACTCTTGTCAATCCTTGTAGTGATACAAACAACTATACTTATACAATATGTAGTAAAGAGAGATATTTTCCACTTAGGTGTTGAGTAAGGCATTGTTGATTTTAAAATCCAAGTCATATCCTCCACTTTGATGATGCAAATACTCCTTTCTCATGATTGTGGGTAGTAAGTATGTTTTCCACACGGACAATGACGATGATGTCTTATCTCATAAAATTAACCAACACATTTGTGTTTCAAATTTTTTAAAAGAGGAACTACGTGTACCCTGATCCCCTATTGCACGAAAGGTGGTACATAGGCACTAAAGGTTCGCAACCGCGGCGGGTGCAAAAATCATAAAAATATTTCTTTTCTCACCTCCACCATCCATTTTATATATAACACGTTTTTATAGCCAAAATATACAGATTTTTCAAAGAGGTTCCTGCGGAGTACCGTAGATGTTTAGGGTGCTAATACCTTCTCTTTGCATAACCAACCCCCTTACCTTGAATCTTTCCCCCCTTTTTTTGGGTTATTCGCTCTTTTCCCATTCCTTTGGAAATAATAAAGCGCGGTGACGATTTTTATTTTGATTTGTATAAAGTCTAGTCAATCCAATGGCTTAGTCTTGAACATTTCTACTGCTACAATAAGGAATAAAACCTTAATTAGTTGAGCGAAGCAATGATTAAGTAACTACTAAATTCCTGTGTAGAACCATTGATCAGTAGGCGAATTAGACGGTATATTTAGTTGTCCGAAATTTAACGAAATTTGACTGGGTAACTAAGTTTAATTAGTAGGTAATTGTGAATATGTCTTTTTGTTGAAATCACGTCGATTATTCCGAATTGCTGGTGCAATTGGTTAAGTCGTTCCGTCCGGTTTAGGGGCATTGTTGATTATAGGTCTTATGACCAATGTTGTGTTATTTTGTGTTGATCGATGAATGTGTTGGTGTTGCAAGATATCATTGAGTATATGTGGAATTCGATATTGATAATGTGATTATGAATTATTTTTGTGGGTAGCCTTATGGTGTGAATCCTAGTGAATATATAATGAATATATTGTTTCCATGAATTGTTGTTGATTACGTTGATCACGTTGTAGGCCTATGGCGGGTGAAGTAGTGATATAGGTGTATGCCTCTTGAAGTGTTTAATGATGTTGTTGTGTGTGTTGTACATTCATACATTTGCATCTTATGAAGGTCTTTATTGGCGGATTTTGTGAAGGCATGTATTGGCAAAAATGAATTATGAAGAAGGCTTATACCTCGTGCCTCGGAATTACTGACAAATATTTATGTTGGGAGTTCTGCTCCAATGGTACCACATGCATTTGCATAGTTGAGTCGCATTCGGAGTCGTTGTTTTGATTGTTTATTTGAAGTGTTGTTTATGCTTGGCGATTATAAGTTGAATTGATGTGTAAGTGAATTGTGTTGCTTTTATGTTGTTGTTGGGTGAAATGGTGAATCGTATATTCTTTACCTAATATATTGTTTATCATAACCCTATTTATATAGTTTGATATCTCACCCCTTCTGTTTGAATGTTGCCCTTTGTTGGTAACGTACAGGTAACCAAGATGAGTAGTCGAGAACCTTGTGAGTTCGAGTTCAGTGTCTTTTTCTCTGATACGTAACACTCGGGGGGAAATGAATGCTTGTCTTATTTTGTTGTTTATTTATTGAAACTTATGTTGTTATTCGAGGAGTTATTGTATTGATGTTGTTTCATGATTCAAAGATGTTATATCTTATTTGGAAAATTATTATGAATCCACTGTATGATTAATCAAAGTTTGGTTTATGTTATGAAGACTTTATTCATGAGTTGTGTTTATTCCGCTTCTTTAAGTGTTGTGTATCTATTCTAAAAGCATGACAAGTTTATGTGTTTTGTTGAATATGTGACATCCTGATTATATTGGAAATTTTTATACTCTAATTTTTTGATAATTGCTTGGGGGTAGAATTGGGGTGTTACAGCGAGCAAGTATGAGAGTGAGTATGAAAGAATGAATACTTGACCCTCTCAAGAGAGAGGGTATTTATAGCCCCCATCGCTGGGCCAAGGTCCCCATTGTTGGGCTGGGCAAGCAGGCCCAAAATGGAGATTTCCAGGTTCTACATCCGTAGTGGGGCCATCATGTGGTCCCCAACCTGGATGGACTCCCCCGAATAATCAGGAGGATATGGATGCGGTCTTTTCAGGACCAAGAGGACTTTGTGATATTTGGGGGTGTGATGAGTCAACCCTATGAGGAGGAGGTTCGCAGTGTCCTTACGTTGTCGTGGGGCCTCCCCTCCAGCTGTGAGGTCGTCCAGAAGGGCTTGCCTTGGTCAACGAGAAGAGTGGAGGATGCTCGCGAGGTCCACATGATCGGCAATGAGCCTCCTCGCGATTCTTGGATTTATCCATGTACGGCGGAGCCGTGTTCTCACGAAGGGTGAGATTACTGCCCGACATAGTTGAGGGCAGACTCGGTCAGCAGGTCTCCTCGAGCAATATAGTTAGATTGGGCCTCATATGAAGTTTGGCCAAGGAAGAACCAGTTCAAAACAATTTCAATGTGTTTTATACCCTTGTTATTAACGATGGACAGCAAATATATAATACGAATAGCAAGGCGCCATGTCTCCTTAAAATCATCGATATCAACAAAGTTGTCGATTCTTTTTGACATATTGTATTTTGAAAACTCAAATGGAACAAAGAAATAACGACAAAACTCAGATTAAGACGATATCATGAATGACTTTAGGGTTTATGAAAACAAAAATGCACAGAAACAAAAGATCAATGTTTATATCAGTAAGAATTAGAAGAAATTAAAAAGCATGGAGAAGTAAGAATCATAATATATTTTCAAACCTTAGGAGGATGAGTTCCATTGGACTTCCTATATGAAAATGATTTTCGGTATGCAAAGAAAGAACCTTTAGGATTGAGGAGCCTTTGGTGTTGTTGTATATTTATGATACTGTTTAAAATGCAAAGAGACTCAAGCGTGACCATATAATGATGGTCTAACATTTTGGAATTGTGAAAGTTTAATGAAATGTCGTATCCCAATATGTGAAGGATGCAAAGAATCAATTAGTAATAATTAGTGATTTGAAATAATGGAAAATGACATTGATCGCCCTAAATTAGTGAATGTGAGTAAGTTTAGTAATGTCCAAATTAGTAAAAATGATGGTAATTAATTTTTATATATTTATAGTTGATGCTTCTCATAAAATTAAGTTATAAACAATTGAATAATCTTTTGGATACCCATCTTCTTGCGTTATTCATGTCGTTAGGTGCATCTAAGTGGTCGTAAAGGAAGGTCAGATAGTCAAATTTCTTTTTCACAAATAAATTAAAAAATGCCTCCTCGTGAAGAGCCTCTGCCTCTTGCACCTTGAGAAGGTCCTTCCTCGAATATTTAGACATTGTCGTAGGGTTCATTGTTTGAATATTTGTCATCTACCTAAAAACAATTCAACTCATCAAATTATTTTTTCGCCTTTGCGCGAAGTTAAACCATTTCCATAAACGAAAGATGCTTCGTCCATTCTATGACGATGCAAACAAAGCTTCATTCTTAAAACATGAGAACCGTGAACGTATTCTGCTCGAATGAGACGAAGACATACATCTGTGTGAATCTAGATTATGTTATCCATTCTTGATGCGATGCAAATGTTCACTTCTTCATATTTTAGGTACAAGTAATATTTTCCGTTTGAATGTGATTAAGTATCTCTCGCTAAAATCAATCAACTAATAAACATTTTCTATCATGAATCATGAGACTCTGATTTTCTCATAGAGATTTTGAAATCCTAACGAGCACAATAACAAAAAATTCCATAAACATTGTATTTCTTTCTCATAGATTAATAAGTAGAAGATCACAAGTAAACATCAAACTAACATTTATTCATGAGACTAACTAAATGTTTTTTGTTGAGTACAACGGATGTAAGAAATATTAATAATTTCCTCTTACGTAACCGACTCCCAAATTTTAATTTGATTCTGATGATATTTTATCATTGTTTATAGTTTTTCTCTATATTTTTCTATTCCTTTTAAAATAAATAAAATTAAATAATAATTCTAGTGAATTTCGAATATCGATACGTTCAGATATTTTATGCAGCACGACACATTAAAGTTATTGTATACATTTTTTTTTTGTAATAGTGTAGTGAATCAATAGCCATCAAAACTTACTAGAGCTACAATGAGATGAAAGGACAATAATTTTGATTGGCATAAAGAAAAAAATCCTTGTCATTGTGTGGGAGTTATGAAAAGGAGAGGACACGAGTAAGAAAAGGACAAACAATTTTGACAAACCCTTAAATTGTATATTTTTTATTGGAAGAATAATATTAATTTTACTTCTAAACTTCAAACGAAAAGCCCAGCTTCATTTTTCTTTATATATATAGACCACTACTTTACGTATTAAGAAAACTCCACAAGAGTTCGATGATCACACTTTAAGTCTTCTTCATCTTTCATCGATATTTTCCACTCACGCTTTTTTTTCTTTTTAATTTTCTTCTTTTCTCATCTTCCTGTTACACCTATCTGGTAATGATAGCTTTCAATATCCGTGAACCACAAACCCTAATATCTGGTAAAGTAGTAAAAACCACGCATCATTCTTTTTGAATTTTACACTGCAATCATCAATGACAAATACCAAAAACCAACGTATCGGTCAGGTGGAATCTCACCGGCGAGGCAAATTAAGAGAGAAATCATATTCCTTTTACGGTCACACTTCGGCCACGGCGGCAACGTTGGCCACTGCAAAACTTCGAAGGCCGAAGACGATGCCGGAACTCGTACTAGACAGGAAGCGTGCAGCAACGACGGAGATTTTCCCGAGACAGCCGTCGAAGTTGCTACTTAAAGTTACGATGATGGGGAGCCTTGGTCCTGTCCAAGTGTTGATAACACCGGAATCAACCGTTGGAGATGTGATTGCGGCGGCGGTGTGCATTTATATAAAAGAAGCTCGCCGTCCAATCTTGCCGTCGAACGAAGCTTCCGGATTCGATCTCCATTACTCTCAGTTCAGCTTAGAAAGTAAGCGGGATTTCATCTTTAAAATTTTTAAAGATTAATACGTTCTATGTCTTTGCACATAAAATTAATGTTCTACGTCGCTACAATATATCTTATATCTCTGTACGACTATCAACTGAGTTGATTTAATATGAATTTTTTAGAGTTAATAACTTATTATAATTTGTTTTATTTGTGTAGGTTTGGATAGAAATGAGATGCTGAGGGAAATTGGATCAAGAAATTTTTTCATGTGTCCGAAGAAGATTGAAGAGGTTGAGAATAACGGTGAAGACCGTAGCGTAACGGCGTCGTTTGGTTCATGTTCAAGAGAAGCGGAAAAAACGAGCAAAGGTTTTGGCTTGCTAAGGTGTATAGATTTCTTGCTGTGAAAATGAATGGATCAGAATGAACCACCACTTGGTCATGTTGTTCCAATAACATACAGTCACTAGTATTTTCAATAATTTTTTATTTTTATTTTTATTTTTTTGTGTTCAAAATAAATCTGTGAATGAATTATGAATATTATGGTCGGTTACTTGTAAAATAGGACGGTTACGCTAGTTATGGTTGAAGATTTGTGGAAGAGGCCAAGTAATGTCATGCCTTGAATTTTTATCTTGTAGGATGTTTTTTTCTTCATCTTTCTATATATTTTCTTTGTTTGTGTAGTTGTTTCATACTTTTCTTCAATGACAAGTAATTTAGTTTTGGAAGTCTAGGCTATGTCTACATCGTTGATGCTGATATTTTCAATGTCGATGACTATTTAGTGGTATACCATGATATATTAATATGAATCAAACTAGATCGATATTTTATTTAAAATGTTTTTATAAATAAATCACTAATGATAACTATTCTTAGTGAGAAGAGATTCTGTCCCGTAAAAAATTGTTTTAATGAAATCTCAATCATTTGTTTTTTATGCAGCATATTATTTTTAATTATTTAATTATAAATAATTGAAGGGTGAAGATTAATATTGGATTTCTTTCGGTGAAAATTTCACTGTAGAGAAATCATGTTCATTCTTGGCCGACTAAATTTAAAAAGGACAAGGTTTAATCATCAATCTAAGTCATTTTATCATCTATATATAAAGTATCTCATGTAAGATTTGAGGTATTGTCTCTTTGATCCATAACATATTTTACTCTTCTTTTTATTTTTTTATTTTTTTTATACTAATTCGGATGTTAAATGTTAATCTTGATGGTCCATCCTAGCACCAACATATAAAATATTTGCTCCACTGCATCGAGATCTTATTATATCATCTAAGTGATCATTTTTTATTTTTAAGTGGAACAGTTGTGTTGTTTGTGGAAAATCAAAAATTGCATCATATGCCGCTTAGCCTCGATTGAGGGACAACTGTTTTGGTACACCCAAAATAGTTCCGCATTATTTTGGAATCGAGGCAAATGGTAATTTATATATATATATATATATATATATATATATATATATATATATATATATATATATATATATATATATATATATATATATATATATATATATATATATATATATATATATATATATATATATATATATATATATATATATATATATATATATATATATATATATATATATATATATATATATATATATATATATATATATATATATATATATATATATATATATATATATCAATTAATGTGCCTTTTCTAAAGGACAAAGTCTTGAGAGTTTTCACACTTAAAGTTGACAGTACATCATAGTCACAGTGGCGCTGACTTTAGGTCAACTGAAACATTGGTGTCATTTGTGGGAATTGACTTTTAATTTCTACGGATTTTCACTATCATATTCCTTTTTATCCAAAGTCACATATCGGAACTGCAATTACGCTCGAATGGGGAAGATGGCTTTTGATCCAACTACATAAAACATCATAACTCCCCCGTCCTCTAGATTCACTGATACATTCATCGTTGATTCAATCGATACCAGATCCCCTTGAAATTATCTCCAATCATGGGCGGTAGTCCATGGAAAAAATAATATAGGCTTATTCAAGGGTTTTGAGAGCATAAGAAGTTCAATAAAACTCCAAATGTGTCCCTTCCACTGGTCGTAACTATTACTATAGTCAACCACTTCGTACTGAGGATCCTCGTTACCTTTCTATGGTCACACTTCTGTCACGACAGCTAAGTTGGTGTTACGCTAGGATTTTCAGCTAAAGGAAAGTCAACAAAAAATGTCACAATGAAGGGACATTTAGGATTATGAGATAGTAATCAAGTATTTACGAACATTAAACCAAATGTTTAGAGGCATTAATGTCAAGTGTCTTGAAGCTTTAATTATCCAGTATCGACAGAGCGTCGACTAGGAAATCAACTGACGTGGAAGTTAGGGTTTGTAAGAATCACAAGAGCAGATCCACAAGATTAAGATCACCTAGAAATATGCCCAAAATCTTGAGAAGGATATTCGACAGGGTTTCGTCAAAGAAGTTATTGGTCGAAGCGGTTATTTCAACTTGGGTTATAAGCAAGCTGTAGATCGTGGGTGACACATGGATGTGCTAGTTGGAGCCTGAAGGTTGAACATGGGATAAAATGCAGCAGTATCCTAGTTCTTAGAATCTACATCAATGGTTACTTGTAAATAGAATAAATAGCAGATTCATACATTATAACAAGGATTGCAAAATTTCATACATTCTCTTCATACAATTGGAGTACCTGAGTCAAATAGCGAAACAGTTTACGAGAAATATGTATATGTTTGCGTCCAGTCTTTTATTGTTTTCATGTTTGCTTAAATCAAGCATTTACTTTTTGTCTTAGGTTTCACCTTTGTTTAATGTCATTTACTGCACTTTATCTTCTTGTCATTTATCAAAACTTGTTTTTATTTAAACTCTGTCTTTACATCGTCGTTATATGAATTGTTGCATTTAATGTTGCATTTAATTCACATGCATGCGTTTTCATACAAACTATTTGCACAAATTATTTTGGATATTTTTCAAGTTAATCTCACTAGAGTCATCAAACATGTGATTGGTTACCAAAGACACCGGTAACCAGTTGGCCACTTGTTCACGGTGAAACAACCGACTGAATAAATCATTGAGATGAAATCAATGAAGTCACTATCGAACGTTTTTTATCCCACGTGAAGGGAAAGGTAAACATCGAGTAAACCTGCGAAGGGTGAAATCACGGTCAAACGACCGAGAGATACGGGTAAGGGAGTCTGTTACGCGAGGGGAAGGTATTAGCACCCCACATGCCCGTAGTACTCTATGGTATCCACTCTTGTTATTTTAATCAAATGGTGTGTTTCAAATCTAAGCTTAAGAGCTAAAAGAAAATGCAAAGAGGGAATACATGCAAAAGAAAAGAGAAAATAATGTAGGTAAAATAAAGTTGTGCTCGCTTGGGCCCTACCCCAATGCCTACATATCCTTTTTGAGGAATCAGAGTTACTGTAGTTCAGCTCACATGCTTCGGTTTGTTTTGTGTTTTTTAATGAACAATATTAATTTCGCCTTCTGCCGCAACTCGACCTTTAGAGATTCATGCATTAACACATAAGTGAATTAACATGTTCTTTTGAAAAGTTTTGAAAGAAAAGAAAGGAGCCCGAAGGTGAAAAAGAGTTTGCGTTGGTTGATATTTTTTTTACCTTAAAGAAGGAGTTGAAAATTGTTAGATGTTCTATGATTTGCCAAGAAAAAGAGTTTTAGTCTTAATGCAAGGAAGCAAAAAAAAGAAAAACATCTAAGAGATTATCCTAAATTTATCCCTAATGTTATCATACAATGACGACCATATGGTTGCGTTTTGAAAGGAACATCTATACCCTATGTTAGCATGCCTGGATCATAATCCTAATGTCTATCTCAAATTACTACCAAAGGATGAATCAATAACTCCTAAGGGAACATAGCTAAGGTTCACAACCTAAAACTATGTCTATCTTGAATCACCACCAAAGGGTGAATCAAGAACTCCTAAGGGAACATGCCAAAGGTTCACAACCTAAGAAAAACATGTGCACGAGGATGGAAAGAAAGTAACCAATAAGCTCAAGAGAGCACACACATGCCACGAGTAGTGCATACTAACTCGGGTAAAGGCCTAACCAAGATATAAATGATCGAGGTAGGTACAAAGTACATAGGGATGCTTTAGCCAAGGGGTCATATGAACCGAGGCAAACAAGCGGGGTAGATATGGGAAGCTTTAGCCAAGGGGTCATATCAATCGAGGCAAACAAGCGAGAAGGGGATAGGAAAAACAAAGAAAAATGGGATGTCCAAAACGACTAAACACCTAACCACGATATAGAAAATAGAGGTAGGAGATAGAAGACAATATGAACAATCACGGAGTGTCAACATCGGCCAATGCGAACTCCTGACAAAGTGTGGGGTTGTATTGTGAAACCCTTTTTCACTTGACGACTCGATAACAAGAGTAGGCACAACTCCGAAGCATCGTGGTGTGTCACGAGCTAAGGATGACACAGACGAAATGTAAGGGGTTGATTGCGAACCCCTTTCGCCTTGCCTCCTTTTGAGGACTTATTAATAAGGGATGGGGTAATAGACGCGAGCACAAATGTAAACACACGTACGGAATACCTACTTCAAAGGTAGGATTTTAAACAAACACAAATAACATACAGAAAGCAGTGCCTGCTACATGACTTTAAACAGTGACTTCGAGCGCACGCTCTTTATTTCCTACTTCTCATGATATCTAGAAAGCACTAAAGTGTTGAAATGAGATAAACAAGAGAAAATACCAAACGAACAAAAGTTCGTAGTGCAGCGAGCGAAGTAGAGAAACCCATAAAACTTTGAGTAAGCTTCACCAAGCAACATAGAAGAGTCAAAAATAAAATGCTCGAAATAAGCATTGAAGCATCATTGATTTGGAAACAAATCACAATCGAGATCTTAAATATATCTGTATATCACACAATAAACTTGCATAAGACTCATATCTCAACAAGCAAAGGTGAATTACAAATCTCAAGTAATCAGATAATCCTGATTTAAATCCTAATTTTTATTAATATTTTTGTTACATCAATATTTTTTATTAACAAAATTGTTATCTAACAATTATGAAAAGAAAAAGTTTAAAAAAAATTTAAAAATTCTACACATGGGGTGTGGCTCTGGAAACAAGCGGTGTAGTAGAAATAGGTGCTAGGCCCATCAACAAAATCCAAATAGAAGTTTTTGATATCACAAGGCTTCACAAAACAACGACAAAAAACGGACCAGAAGAGAGAAGAAATCGGTACAGCCCAATCACTATAATGTCCAATTTATCTTTTTATTTGTTTATTATTTATTGATATAATTTTTTTTTTACACATAATCAGATAAAATATAATGGATTAG